TATACGGTTTACGGTTTAGGGTTTAGGGTTTAGGGCCAATCTTATTCCTCAAGGTTCCTTATACTACTTGTACCATAATATACCCCAAATCCCATTCTACTTCTTTAGGCTTCTATTTTTAAGTGAATTTCCGGCTCTTGGTCTTCTCCAGCTTTTGACTTGCATCTGAAGGGGTGTTGTTGGGATGGCTCCGGCGTACCTTGGCCTCAAGGCATAGCAGGGTTTAGGGTTTAGGGTTTAGGGTTTAGGGTCTAGGGTTTAGGGTTTAGGGGCATAGCATATATGGTACATCTCAACTTGTACTCCAGCACTCCTGAAACGAATCCGAAACGCGGTGGTGGGGCGGGCTGTCCCGTTCAGGGGCCCACATAGTATAAATCAATGCCAAGAGTCAACGAAGCACATGTCTCCGGTGTTGCTTGCACCGAATTTTTGGAAGGGGAAATACGGAGCTGACCTTGGGCATTAGGACTTCGGGTTAGTGGCGCAGGTTTCTTGAGCCCGCGTACGGGTGCGAGAGAGCTCTGTGTATCATAGCTGCTTGTAAATATGCAGAGAAAACAAAAACACCCTTTCATAAGAGAAGCAACCTTAAGGTGCTTGAGGTCTTGAAGTGATGATTCAAGGTTGCTTTGGTTAAGGGGTACCTTTGCTGTTCCTCTCTGCATCTCTGAAACCCCATAAACACCTAAACCCTTATAGTTCAACACTAAGCCTAAACCCTAAACCCTAAACCCTAAACCCTAAACCCTAAACCCTAGAAGAAATAAACACGAGTAATCCACAAGATAACCAACAACACATGTAGTCTGAGGCCTCAGCCCGCCCTAATGTAGGGGCCTTAATAATTTGAATAGGATTTTGAGGGTTCCTTATTGTAATTATAGTACAACATACCCCCAAAACCCTATTCTAATCATTAAGGCCCCTATATTAAGCCCAAAGCCTTAAGAAACTTCAGGCCCCAAGGGCAGAAAGCCCAAGACGGTGCTGACGATTCCCGCGACAATCATCCAGGGTGCCAGCGGACAATAGCCCTGGCTAGGGCTCAGGGTTTAGGGTTTAGGGGTTTAGGGTTTAGGGTTTAGGGGTTTAGGGTTTAGGGTTTAGAATTTAGGGTTTAGGGTTTAGGGTTTAGGGGCCTAAAACCTACTAAAACAACAGAGAGAAAGTAAATCTATAGTGCAAGTACATAGTTACAGTATAGCTACAGTACAACTCTTGTATAAGTAAGTGTAGTATAGCTATAGCATGCTCCACTATGGTATAACTAAAGTATACTTTACTATACCTAGTACAGCTATAGTCTAGTGTACCATAGTAAAATGTACGGTGCTATGGCGTACCACTGTATACTACATGCTTAGGAGTTGTGGACATGGTCCACTTCCGCACAGCAGTCAAGATAATAACGGTCATGACGGCAATTAGTGCAAGACACACACACACACACACACAAATGCAGCACGACAGCAGTCAGAGCAAGCGAAATCCGAGTGTTCCCCATCGTAATTCAGTCAACGCCCAAAGGTGATCGGATTCCGAGTAATGAGGAGCATGCTCCTTCAACAACCAATGTGTCACTGAAAAAGGTGATTAGAGCAAGAGTGGAAGAACAGCAATTGTCATGGTCGTGGTGGTGGTGGTGTGGTCGTCGTCGTCGTCGTCGCGTCGTGGCGGTGCTGGTAGTAGTCGTCGACGTCGGAGTAGTACTACAAGTAGAAGTAGCAGAATAAGTAGTAATAGAAGTTGCGAGACTTATGCTTCTGGTGATGAACCTGTTATCAGCTCCGGTGACTGGCCGTCGGTTTAAAATGAATGTCTATGCTTCATCATTTTCAGGAACGCTTTTCAGGACTCTTGCGGTGATAAGACGACGGTAGCTGAGGGAAAGACTGCAGACAGCAAGGTATCATCGCATCTTTTAACCTGCGCCGTCATCGGCAAGCAGTTGCATTCACCTTCCTCAAGCCTGACAGTGACAATTCCCATTCAAGGCCACTTGGGAAGAAGTATGGCGATGTCAAGTCCAAGTAATACTGCGGACACACTGTGGCGATTGCAGGACATGTGGTTATGATTGAAGTTATGATGGCATGATAGCATCTGTAGACTTAGAAGTGAAGTACTTGAGTTCCTGGAGACTTCGGAGGCAATGTATATGTGTGTGTATATATATATATACATATATCTATATCTTCTTTTCTCTCTCTCTCTCTATATATATATATATATTAATATCGGGATGCATGACCTCATCAGCATGATTGACGGCACGCCTAGCAGGCTCCCTCTTCCGAGTTCGCTGTCAACAATTTGCCCTTCTCTGGATCTGCGGGAGGCTGTGAAGCTAAAGACGGTCCCGGGATGGCTGTCCGCCTTGCAGAGCTTGTTCTTGCGGGCGACAGCGCTCGCCCGTTCGATGGGGTGCTGGTCGCAATTGTCTGACCGGCAGTGCTAATTGGAGCAGGGTTTTGGGATATGTTGTACTTTAGTTATAATTATAGGAACTCCCGAAATAGTATTGGTCACTATTTAGGCCCCTATATTAGGCTGACAAAAGCGGGTGGGGGTTCGTCCGCATTTAGACGGCGGGGTGCGTGGCTGAGGCGGGTTCACGGAGCTGAACTTCGGGGCTCAGAAATGGCGAGGGAACCCTGCAAAGCTTGACTCCCCCACCGTCGTCTGATCTTAAGACGGACTACGTAGATGAGCTCACGTGAACGAAGGTTTGCACTTCAACTTCGGTTGACTGCATATGCTACATAAAGGCTGCGTGCTATGATAGCACGTAATTAAAATCCAGGTCGACTTCATCGTGAACGGTTGACATAATTACCGGGCAATGAGAATGCTACATAAAAACTGCGTGCTATGATAACACGCAAAATCCAGGTCGACTCCATCGTGAACATGCGTGACTCGCATGCTTCTGTCCATGTTTAGGTTTTTCTAGTCAGATTTCCACAGACAGTACAGTATATAGTACAGCACAGCATAGAATAGAACAGTGTAGTCCCCTGCCTCCTTCGTCCCAGCAGCTTTCTGATGGCTTCCAGTGGTAGGACACCTGGATGGGACGTCTGCTCGCTGGGGGCTTTTCGGGCTTAGGTACGGTTTGTTCGTTATGTCCACAGCCACCCTACTAAACCCTAAACCCTGAATCCTAAACCGTTCTTGTTCGTTTGAACTGCTGCCCCGGCCCCTAAGATGGCTGGTGGCTTACCAGCGTCACCAGCACCACAACCTCCTCTTCCCCGACCTATGCGGTCACGGTCACGATCATGATGACAATGCCGTTTATAAGGGGGTTTAGGGTTTAGGATGGGTTTAGGTTTTAGGGCTTAGGGCTTAGGGTTCAAGGTTTAGGGTTTTTTAATCAACGTTCGTCTGCTTGAAGTCGGCGAAGTCATGCACTGCTCAGCAACTGACTTCCAACTCTCTGCACATATGCAGTGTCTCAGTGGGCAGTGGGGGCAACTCGGACACAAACGAGAGCGAACGATGTTGCCAAGAAGCAATACCTCTACAAACAGCTACATACATCGTTGCGTAACACATGCAGGTATGGTCATGCAGACGGGGAGAATGACAACGACATAAATACCAACATGCAGATACAAACCCACCACAAAGCGGCATAATAAAACCCTCAACCCTTCGCCTAGGAAATCTTAAAACCGAAGCCCTAAGCCCAAAGCACCCTCAGAAGCTACCCAGAACTCTGGGTATCCCTGCCCACAAAACAAAGCACAAGCAAAGAAGGTTTCTGCAGGTTTCCCGGTGAATGTGTTGACTCCACAGTAGCCTCTGTTGGGCACCCAACCCTAAACCCTCCATTTATTTGGCCTTGAAGACTGTCGGCTACCGGCATCTTGTGTCCTACCCGACCATCGAATCGCAGAAACCCCTACGACCCTAATTATGGGGCCTTAATAATTAGAATAGGGTTTTGAGGCCCATTATGCCATGAAATATCATAAGGACCCCCTCAAAATAGTATTGGTAATTATTTAGGCCCCCATACTACGATCCTACGACCCTTAATCTAACTGTTTCCAGGATTCCTGCTTCGAGCACTGAGTACGAGCTGAAACCGAGATCAGGGAACACTGACTATTAACGTCCGCGGAAGGCTAAAACGGCAAAGCTCTTTGTTCGGATCTGCAAGCTAAGATTTGGAGCAAGACGGGAAGCACTTGATGAGGACTGTCAATCAGGTCCTAGTGTGTGAGGTCTGTTGTGTTGTCAAGAGTCTACGATAGTTTGCAAGACCCTTACCTGCTTCTCCGTCAGCGCAGGCTTCACGGAATCATGTGACACTGACGCGGTAGGTGATCTGCGAATATCTGCGGTGCCGAAAGAGGGAGTCTTGCATGGCACCATCGGGCCCAACAGATGCAGTCGATCTATCTATCTGTCTATCTATTTATCCGTCTGTCTATCTATCTATCTATCTTTCTTTCTTTCTTTCTCTGTTTCTACCGATCATTCTATATGTCATTCTATCTATCATTCTATCTAATCTATCATTCTGTCTAACATTATGTCGATCATTCTGTCTATTATTTTATGTACCATTCTATCGATCATTCTATCTATCATTCTATCTATCTATCTATCTATCTATCAATCTATCTATCTATCTATTTATCTATCTATCATTCTATCTATCATTCTAGCTATCTATCTCTTTCTATGTCGAGTTTCAGACGCATTGCACGCTAAGCCACAATGCCAGAAGCCCGAAGCTCTTCGCACCTAAACGGCCCAGCAAAGGCAAGGACCTCGGACAGATCCTGTGCTTCTGCCGAAGATGCCCTTACCCTAAGGGTCCATGTACCCAAATAGGGTATAGGGTCCATGTACCTAAATAGGGTTTAGGGTTTAGGGTCCACGTACCCAAATAGTATATACTATGACCTGAAAATAGTCCCTATATAGCTACTTTAGGCCCAAAGTATCTAGTATATGGACACATGGACCCTTGGGGTTCGACCTCAGAGCCCGGAGCGTAAGAAGTTACAAGCAGAGATCGCTGCATTGAAACTGATCTCGTTCGGATGCGTTTGGCTGAACGCATGGAGTGCAGCCTTCCACTGTCCTGCCTCATCACATGCGCTGATAACGGTGTTGAAGCTTATGATGCTCAGCTCTGCCCCAACTGTAGAAACCGCAGACAGCATCTGAAGTGCTCGCATCCATTCTGAAGACCTGCCTGCAGCATGCATCTCGGCGCTGAAGATGATCTCGGTCGCGAGGACCCGTGCCAAGTGCATACGGCTCAGAGGCCACAAAGCGAGCTGCCACTTCCCTGGTGATGCGCAGGCACTGATGGCCGTGCTGAGCACGACTCGGTTGGGCTCGGCTCTAGTGGCAGAAACCTCGGACAAGACCTGCCAAGCAAGAAGCCATGCGCCCCCTTTGCCTAGGGCATTGATGGCAGCACTGGTGCACACCATGTCGGACCTGAACCTCAAGGACTTCGAAAGCAAAGTGCATGCCACGTGCCACTTCGCGCACTTCCCGGAGGCGCTGGCAGCGGCGCTGAAGCTGATAGCATCTGCCTCCAAGGCCATAGCCGGCATGCTGCAAAGCAAGGAGATTGCGAGGCTCCACTCTCCACTTGCTTCACAGGATGAGATGGCTGCATTGAGACAGATTGTGTTGGGAGGTGTGGAGGCACCGGGCATGTTGCCAAGAAGTTGGAGCACCGTTTGCCAGCCACTGCCCTTGGCATAAGCGCTTATCACCGCACCGAAGCAGACTTCGTTGACCTTGCCCATGGACCGAACATACTCCGCAAACAGCGACACCGCCCGCTCCCACTGCTCTCCCCTCTCACACCAAGCCATGACTGCCGTCAAGCAGGCAACATCAGCTCCCTTGATCCCTGGCGCTGAGCTCGACAGCAGTCCCCAGGCAAGTTTCCACTGAAGCTCTCGGCCTCCAGCGGCCCCTGCAGATACGACGGCGTTAAGCATGCTCGCTGTGAGTGGTATTTTGCCTCGTCCCATGTAGACGAGAAACTTGCAGGAGCTTTGCCACAGGCCTCTGTCGGCATATGCAAGCAAGCTGGAATAGAAGCTCGTGCTGTCGGGGCTCAGCCTTGTCATTTGCATCCTCGGCAGTTGCTCAAGGATCTGTTGCCACTGTCTGCGCCAGCTCAAAGATCTCGAAACGGCATTGAAGCTGAGGACATTCGGCTGTATTTCAGCACATGCCATTGCTGGCAGCAGGTTGACTGTTGCTTCCCACGTTCCGCCTTGCTCACATGCCAATGCAGAAATCACAGACGTGAAGCTCACAACATCTGGCCAAAGCCTTCTTGCAGGCATGGCGCTCAACAAATACAGCGCAGGCTGCCAGTGCCCGGACTTTTGACATGCACTGCTGGCAGCATTGATGCTGATATTGTCCGGCGCTACGTCTCTGGCCTCCATCCCTGAAAGAAACCTCGTCGCAACAGACCAGAGGCTCGCAGGTCCCGCCGTAGAGATGGCCGTGTTGAATGATATTGAATCTGGGAGAAGCTTCAGCTTAGTCATCCTGGAAAGCAGGTGGAGCATGCTGTGCCATCGTCCAGCAGCTCCACACGTATTCATGGATGTATTTATGGTGATCTTCGTAGGCCTCAGACTGGTCCTTCGCATGTCAGATATTAACTTGATGGAGCTGTGCCACTGTGCAGCCTCATACGAGCTGATGGCTGTGTTGGTGCAAATGGCATTGGGGGTCAAGCCGAAGGATGGCATGTGAAAAAGCCTGAACAACGCCCTGGGCCACGACTTTTCCGAACTGATGGCAGCGCCGAAGGTGACCTCATTGGGCCGTGCTTCTAGTTTCTGTGTCGTGCTGAAGAGCTCCAGCGCAGCTGGCCACTGCCAGGCTTTGGCCGCAGTGCTGATGGAGGAAGAGAGCGCGACGACATTCGGCTCCTGTGCCGAGCATTGCAATTCGTACAGGATCTGCAGAGAACTTGGCCAAGAGTCGAACCTGGGCTTAGGACTGGGACTGAATGCAGTGGATCGAGAGCACATGTTTCACCAGCGGGTTGTCTGCGACTGGTTTTACCGTCATCTGAGGCCCGCCATCATCTCCGTAGGTGCAGAGATGCAAGGGACACGTCAAAGCATCGTTGCTTTCTCGCATTTTCTGGGGCAGGTGTGTCAGGACCTGAGCCACTGCGCTCCAGCCAACACCTCCGAACGGCTCCTCCATGGCAGCCGGACCATCTAAGAGGACTCCTAGAGACCATCCTAAACCCTAAACCCTAAACCCTAAACCCTAAGAGGACTCCTTGAGTTGAGAGCTGCAAGTGCAAGACCTCGCACGGCCCAGCTGCCTGTCCTGTGTACCATGCCACGTCTAAGTGGGGGGTGGTAGTACACGCAGCAGCAGCAGCAGCAGCAGGAGAAGTAGTAGTAGCAGCAGCAGCAGCAGCAGCAGTAGTAGTAGTAGTAGTAGTAGTAGTAGTTGTAGTAGTAGTAGTAGTAGTAGTAGTCGTCGTGGTAATTGGACTAGCGGTAGAACGGCCTCTGCAGGCTAGGGAAGGTCAGGATGGCCTTGGCTCTGAAGATTTAGGGTTTGAGGGCTTAGGGTTGTGAAAAAAGCGATAGGAAACATGAGGCCAGAATGTTAGTATTGGGCTGTTGGGGTGTATTAATCATATAGTATGAGTCTTCCGGCTTCTGCTATACATGTACGAAGCAATCAGCACTAGCCATCAAAGCACGAAAACAGGCAGCACAACACAGAGCAACGGCAACACCTTTCAACTGCTCTCCTTTTCTGGCCTTGTCTGGGCGCTCGAAGTCATAGAGGCACCAGGCTCCACAGTGATTATACCTGCATCATGCCAAAGTTTAGGGTTTAGGCCCTAAACCCTAAACCCTAAACTTTAGGGCCCTTCGGCTTGAGGCTTGGATGTTGAAGTACGACGAGCAACCTAGAATGAAAGAGACAGGAACAGCAAATCAAAGCCAGCAAAAACAGTGGTACAGACAGTGGCGTGTCCTTTGCTCATCATAGTGAGAGCAGTACCAATACTTGTAACCCTAAACCCTAAACCCTAAACCCCTAAACCCTAAACCCTAAACCCCTAAACCCTAAACCCCTAAACTCCTAAACACTAAACCCCAGATTAACTATCGACTCCAGTGGTGCTGCCTGTGAAGTTCCTTGGGGCTTGAAGCGACTGGAACTCCAGGGGTTTGCATGGAGTTGGGTTTAGGGTTTGAGGTTTAGGGTCTAGGGTGCCTTGATGCATCCCAATACTGTAAAATGCGTTTGCGTGGCTTCGCCAGGACTAGACTAGACCCCTTGAGCGCTTCGTTGGAAAAGCAGTTCTACAAGTAGAACTGGCAGTGTGGTCTTGAAATTCCTCAAACAACTGTATATGCAGAACAATGGAAATAGGAGTATCAAGATAGTTCGCAACGGCAGTATGCTTGAAAACCGGCAACACAAAAAAACAGTTTTGTAACTAACAGCCGGAAGTAGTTGATGCTCTGCTGCCCTCTCGGGTGCCTGAAAACAAGCCCAGAGCATGGACAACAAATCCTGAAGCTCTGAACGTCTTGCCTAAGCTTGATAGTAGAAGCCAGAAAGTTGGAACATCATTCTCCTCATGCCCTTAAACTGAAGATTCAAGCATCAGGGATCCTAGCGCGAATCATCCTAAATCCATGTTCCAACTTTCTGAGATTCGCGGTATAATTAAGCTTTGAGAATAGCACCAACATGCTGGTGTGGAATGCAGGCGGGGAGCATCTTGTTAGCCAGCGCTTTGTGAACCTGTTTGCGAGAAGACAGAACAGCTGCTGCAACCAAAGGCTTTTGTGGTGACCAATCAGATACGTTTTTAGTGGCATCTACATATGCATATGTGTACATGTGTACATATATATATATACATATATACATACATATGTATTTACATATATATGTACATCTATATATATATATACATATGTATACATAAATATATATATATATATACCTGTATATATATATATATATGTGTGTGTGTGTATGCATGCATGCATGCATACATAGTACATACATACATACATACATACATACATACATACATACATGCATGCATGCATACATACATACATACATACATGCATACACAAATATATTTACATACATACGCACATACCATAGGTTTGTGTAGTAGGTATGTAGGCATGCGGGTATGTATGCTGTGCTGCACGCACAGAGACCAACCCTGAAATACTTTGCTTGAGGTGCGCCTAGCCTTTCCGAGGAGCCCATCCTTCAGTTTACTGGAGCCATCAGCCTCCCTGTTCCGACTGTTTCCCGGTAGGACTACTGTAAGGGGCTATCATATGGGGCATTCTTGAAAGGTTGCTAGAACAGTACTATAGTGATACTATAAGCCACACAGTTCAGATCTGAAGCCTGGATTCCCAGGTCCCTTGTTTCTCCCTCTCGACCCTCACTGCCAGCAAATCTCGACATCGAAAGCTCAATCCTTTAACGCCACACTAGCACGGCGCATCGAGTGCCTTCGCGGTCTTGGCGCTATCGCATGCCTCGACCAGTCTTGATCGAAATTTCTGCTTCGCAGAAGAGAGCTTCAGAGCAGCTGTGCCGGGCTTAGGGCTCAACTACATCAACTGACGTAGCATTGGTTTTAAAAGGGTTTAGGGTTTAGGGGTTTGGGTTTAATGATTTCTATTGTTTCCCGCATGGTCATGGGCGACATTCAGTTGATCTGGAACCGGGGTGTTCGGGTAAAAAACCTTTCGCCATCTTTCGCCAGGGTCGAGCGTGTGTTGCTTTGGCATGGCGTTTGAGGCCTGATTGCTACCCGATTGGTCGACAAGTTCCGGCTACTGTTCCTTGGTAATGATTCCCTACTAGAAATACTATCCTAAACCCTAATAAGGACATTTTATATACCTAACCGCGGCTGTTTCAGCATGGGAACAAGAGCAACAACAGCAGCTTAAGAAGTCTCCACCTGTAGAACCGGTACTGTCAGGCCCTTAATTCCAATAATAATAATAATAATAATTAGAATCCGGTTTTTGGGGTATTTTATACTATAGTTACAATAAGGAGCACCAAAATAGTGTTGGTAATTCTGCAGGCCCCTACCTAGACCCACATTCTACCCTTCATTAGATAATTACCTACACTATTCTGGGGGTTCCTAATGATTATTCCAGTATAACATACCCCCAAAGCCTATTAAAATTATTGCCAAGGCCCCTACATTAGTAGAAGCCTATACTATTCTGGAGGGTTCCTTAAGCATCATTACAGTATAATGGGCCCCAAAACCCCTATTCTAATTATTAAGGCCCCGTCGAAGTGTTCGTTGGCACAACCCCTCGCTGCCTTCGCGCTGTGGCTCCGATCGGCGCCATTGACTTTGAGTCCCTCACCTGAGGGTTTAGGGTTTCGGGTAATGTAGGGGCCTAAATAATTACCTGTACTATTTTGGGGGTTCCTTACTAGCAGTATAATATAATGAGGTTTGGGGGTTTTAGGGTTTTGGGTTTAGGGCTTTAGGGTTTAGGGCTTGGGGCTTTAGGTTTCTAGGGTTTTTAGGGTTTAGGGCAATGTAGGGGGGTAAATTATTACCTATACCGTCTATAATATTTTTGGGGCTTCCTTATTATCAGTAATTACAATAGACTGGGCCCCAAAACCCTATTCTAATTATTGAGGCACCTACCCCTGGGAGCCCTAAGGCCCCGCGGCAAAGGTAACCAGGGCTTGCGGCCCGGATAATTTGGGACATAGGCCTGGTTACTA